GGTTGAAGTCTCCATCAACGTGGATGTAGGATAGCACCACCTATCCAAACCACGGGAAAAACATCCATGTCTCCAATTGCGTTTGAATTCTCCAAACCCTTCCCTTTACATTCTTGCAAGTTGCATGCTTTACTTTCCGCTGCCAATATACTCTTTGCATGCTTGCTTGAATTGTGAGATGATTGCTTGACTTGTCCTACAATAGCTAAAATCTGCCAAGAACTAAAATTGGGAAAAGATTAAGTTTTTATTTGGTCAAGTAGTCTAATCACCCCCCCTCTAGACATACTTTCGATCCTACACTAGGGTTATAGGGAAAGTATGTATGTGGTTACGGAATGTTGTTCGGAGTCTCGGATAAGATCCGGGACGTCACGAGGAGTTCTGGAATGGTCCGGAGGTAAAGATTTATATATGGGAAGTCCCAATTTGGCCACCGGAAGTGTTCCGGGCATCACCGGTAAGGTACCGGGACCACCGGGAGGGTCCCGGGGGTCCACCAGGTGGGGCCACCAGCCCCAGAAGGCTGCGTGGGCCAAGTGTGGGAGGGGACCAGCCCCAGGTGGGCTGGTGCGCCCCCCACCAAGGCCCAAGGCGCGTGGAGAGTGGGAAGGGGGCAAACCCTAGGTCCAGATGGGCCTTAAGGCCCACCCTAGGGCCCCCCCTCTCTTTTCCTCCCCTTGGCCGCAACCCTAGATGGGTTTTGGGGCTGCCGCCACCCCTAGGGAGGGAACCCTATATGGGGGCGCAGCCCCTCCCCTTCCCCTATATATACTTGAGGTATTGGGGGTTGCCCAACACATGATTTGATCTCTCTCTTGGCGCAGCCCTACCTCTCTCCCTCCTCGTCTCTCGTAGTGCTTGGCAAAGCCCTGCAGGAGTACCGTAGGACATTATCATAATGTGCATAATGTGACCAAGGAGTTGATCACGGGATGATGTGTTACGGAACGAGTAAAGAGACTTGCCGGTAACAAGATTGAACAAGGTATCGGGATACCGACGATCGAATCTCGGGCAAGTATCATACCAGTAGACAAAGGGAATTGTATACGGGATTGATTGAATCCTTGACATCGTGGTTCATCCGATGAGATCATCGTGGAACATGTGGGAGCCAACTTGGGTATCCAGATCCCGCTATTGGTTATTGACCAGAGAGATGTCTCGGTCATGTCTGCATGATTCCCGAACCCGTAGGGTCTACACACTTAAGGTTCGATGACGCTAGGGTTATAGGGAAAGTATGTATGCTTTTAGTGAATGTTGTTCAGAGTCCCGGATGAGATCCCGGACGTCACGAGGAGTTCCGGAATGGTCCGAAGGTAAAGATTGATATATAGGAAGTATGGATTCGGCCACCGGAAGTGTTCCGGACATCACCAGTAATGTACCGAGACCACCGGAAGGGTTCCGGGGGTCCACCGGGAGGTGCCACCAGCCCCGGAGGCTTTCGTGGGCCAAGAGTGGGAAGGGACCAGCCCCTAGGTGGGCTAGGGCGCCTCCCACCAAGGACCAAGGCGCCCTTAAGAGGAGAGGGGGCAAACCCTAGGGGCAGATGGGCCCTAAGGCCCACTCTAGGTGCGCCCCCTCTCTCTCCCCCTTGGCCGCCACCCAGATGGGATCTGGGGGCTGCCGCCACCCCTAGGGAGGGAACCCTAGGTGGGGGCGCAGCCCCTCCCCTCCCCTATATATAGTGGAGGTTTTGGGCTGCCCAACACGCGAGTCTCTCTCCCCCAAAGGCGCAGCCCTACCTCTCTCCCTCCTCGTCTCTCGTAGTGCTTGGCAAAGCCCTGCAGGAGTACCGCGCTCCTCCACCACCACCACGTCGTCGTGCTGCTGCTGGACAGAGTCTTCCCCAATCTCTCCCTCTCTCCTTGCTGGATCAAGGCATGGGAGACGTCACCGGGCTGCACGTGTGTTGAACGCAGAGGCGCCGTTGTTCGACGCTTAGATCGGAATCGACCATGATTTGAATCGCCACGAGTACGACTACCTCATCCGTGTTCTTGCAACGCTTCCGCTTAGCGATCTACAAGGGTATGTAGATGCACTCCCCTTCCCTTTGTTGCTAGATTACTCCATAGGTTGATCTTGGTGATGCGTAGAAAACTTTAAATTTCTGCTACGATCCCCAACAGTACTCACTGGCGCCGCCGCGTGGTACTGATGAAGGTGGCGGCGGGGATCCAGGCGTCTCCTCCTAGGGCGGGGAGCCTCGGATCCATGGCGGCGGCCCTGGCTGGTGGCACGCGGCGCAGCCTGGCGGCAGGCGGCACCGGCGTGGATAGGTGGGCCACTTCCCTGGCCATGTGGATGGCGGGGAGGTGGTGGGCTTCGGCTGCGGCGGCGGTTCCTCGCTGGATGTTGGTGGCCATGGTGATGTTTGTTCTCGACCCCCGATCTACTCCGATCTGCAGCGGATCTGGCCCTTGGTGGCTTCCGTCACCATTCTTGGGTGCTGGCCTTGCAGATCCGGTGGCTGGAAGGGTTCCGAGGGAATATCTTTGCCGGCGTGGCGGCCACTCCGATGGCAGTGCCTTTGGGTGTTGCTTCCCTCGTTGGAGGCTTCGGAGAGGACCTCCTTCCTTCCACCCCTCCCAGGAGCTCAAGTGAAAACCTCAGACCCCCCTGTTCCAAGCGACGATGACACCACGGTGGCGTGCTCCTTCCTGAAGGCGTTGCTCAGGGGTTGCTCAAGCGGCGGTGGAAGTGGTGGCGGTTCGGTGTCGACACATGCATTCTGGTCAGCTTCATCTTGGAGGCTACGGCGACGTATGCGACACTCGTCTGGTGGAGCTACTGCCGATGGTCGAGGCATCGTCGGCAGTCTGCAACATCAGGCTTGGGGTGCTCAGGGGGAAACCCCAGATCTGGGTCTTCCGGATCGGATGATGATTGCGTTCTATCGCTTTCCCTTCTAGGGGCATCATTTTGGAGCAAGTGATGGCTGGAGGGATGGTGGAGCGGTGCTTCATCTCACACATTGATGGCGGCGGAGATCGATGGCATGGCGCTGTGGAGACTCGGTGTCCGATGCGCGGAGATGGGCTCGCGCAGGAGGAGGTTGTTGTCTGGCGTCATGGTGACGTCGATGGCAGAGTGGCCAGACAAGGTAGAAGCCTCAATATGATCTGAAGACCTGTGGAAGATGGCGGAGATGACACACGAGTACGTCTGACCGGATTGTGCCCCAAACCTGGTATGTGGCTCGGTTGGAGCTTCCGAATGAGTTTCGGCTTTCGGCTTTTGATGTTAGACTTAGGTGAGTGGTTTGGGTAGTGGCCCAGCTAGCACCCCTTCATCATATTGGATAGGAGTAGCGGCATATGTTGCCAAGATGATGGATTCAGGCACATTGTTGTAATACTTTGTACGGTCCTCGAGAATAATCAATAAAGTGGCCGTATGCATCTCCCAGATGCAGAGGCCGGGGGTCATCCACCTTTTCTAAAAAAATGGATGTATATAGACATATTTAGAGTGTAGATTCACTCATTTTGCTTAGTATGTAGTCACTTGTTGAAATCTCTAGAAAGACAAATATTTAGGAACGGAGGGAGTATGTAATACGACCTTCAAAATTTCCTTGCATATGGCACCCATATGTCCTTGGCTAACTATTTCTTCTTCAATTCCCCACCCAAGCACAAGATGCAAATTCATTGAAATATAATTAAAAATGATTCACTCAACTAGAACTACAAATGATTCATCGAACTACATTTCATTCATATACAAGGCAGAAAATGAGCCGCACTATGACTTAAATACATATAAAAAATAACTAAAGCGGGACTCGTTGCGGGACTTGTCGGTGCATGACGCATCGACGCGGGCATCGGCAGGAAACACGACATTGTGGGTTTAAGTTTTAGTATTTGAAACTTGTTGAATTCATTCTCCGTTGTAGTCAAGTTTGAACAGTTGAAAGTTGATGAAGATTTTAAAACTTATCAAAAGATATTCAAAAGTGGTCTTGTTTCAAAGGCCTCGTCGCAAGAAAGACTAACATGCAAATGAAACATAAATTGACCCGCACAAAAACATAAATTAGACTTTGATTCAAAAACATAATATATTTAAATATAAAAGTCAAAGGAAAAAGTATGGATTGTACCTCGCTAGTAGCCCACTTGAATGTCTCAGCCCCTTCTCAATTTGAACCTTTCAGACTGATGCAGCTACCTCGACGAGATGGGCGATCGTGGGGAGAGATCGTGTTTAGTCTAGGTGTAGAAGCACCAAAACTACTCTCTCTGTTTCAAAATACTTCATCCGTCCCATAATATAAGAGCATTTTTTACACTAGTGTGAAAAACGCTCTTATATTATGGGACGCAGGGAGTAGATGACTCATTCTATACTAATTTTACAATGCATCAAAAAATGAGGTCCATTTGAATCTTTGAGCCCCATCTCCCCGATTTGAATCTTTCGTTCAACTACCACGATAGAAATTGCCGGTCCATAAAGTTGGGCAGTTGGGACAGACATAGGCCACGCGAGGAAGCTAAGCTAAACTGACAATGGAAAAGAAAGCCTGATTGTCAGAGCCTCAGAGCTGCGGGAACCAGTGCTCGTCAGCATCTCCTTCTCCTTCGCCCGGGCCCCCGCCGTCTCCTACGTCACCATCCCCATCTTCGGCCGGGCCTTCATGTCGAAGCCTCCCCCGGACGGCCGCGTGTACTCCGACATGCTCCGCAGCCGCGCCCTCGCCGCCAGCGCCCACGGCTTCCTCCTCCTCGGCACCCTCAAGTCCCGCTACAGGGCTCACCCGCTCTCCGGCCTGGACCTCCCCGCCGAGGTGCTCCTCAAGGTCGCCCCTTTGGAGCTCCTCTACCGCAAGTTCACGCGCTTCGTCTGCAATCCGGCCAGCTGTTCCGCCTCCCGGAGTTCGAGGAACCGGAGGAGGAGACCTTGACGTTTGCAGACGGCATGGCGGGCATGTGCCTCCTGACCCAAGCCGACGGCGATGGCCTCAACGGGCCGCCCAAGAGGTATGCCGCTGCTCAGCTCACCGAGGTCGACGGCGGGCGGCGCCTCCTGCTGCGCCGGTTCTCCTCCGAGACAGGGGATTGGGACGAGCAGGTGCTGCCGTCCCCGCTGCCGCCTCAGCGGCGGATGCACCTGGGCCACGAGGTGCTGGACTTCGGAGGCCGGCTCTGGTGGGTGGACGTGAGCTGGGGCGCCGTCTGCGTCGACCCTTTCAGCGACCGGCCCGAGCTCTGCCCCGTCGAGCTCCCTCCTGACAGCATGCTTCCGAACCAACAGGGCGAGACAGAGATGGAGCAGCTTGTGCAGCGCCGGCACATGGGGGTCAGCGCCGGCCGGCTGCGCTACGCCGAGGTCGACCCCTTACACATCAGGTCCTTCGTGCTCGACAACCACCAGAGCGGCCGCTGGACACTGGAGCACCAGGTGTCTGTTCCCGATCTCTGGCGCAATGGGGGCAATGCCAAGGCGACGCCTTCGATTGCTGCTATCGACCCACTAAACGCTGATGCTCTGCATCTCAGCGTGGACCAAATCCATGTTAGTTTGGACATGCGCAAGAGGATGATCGAGGGTTCTGTGATTCTTGATGCAAGCCAGTTGGGTTCAGGTTTTTATCTGCCATGTCTGCTCCCGTCGTTTCTCTGGTCTAGCACAATTCCAGGTGATACATTTTATGTTCCTGTTGTACATAGATGCATTGTACATTTTATGAGTATAAGATAGTTATGTTCCAAGTTCTTGTATCTTGATCAACGAACTTTTTGCAGGCAAGAACAAGACTTTGGACACCGCGAAAAACAAGACTCTGGCGGATGTTTTGGTTCGTTCAGACAAACAGCAGGCGAAATGAAGGTGACAAAGTTACCATCCAATGTATCTCTGGTACTGTTTCCTATGTCATGCTTATATTGCTCCACTATTAGATGCATGTCATCCGTTCACATGTTTAGGATGTTGTATTTTCTTAGATATATCTCCTACTCAGTCTATATGCAGTTTATGATCTGTTGAAATAATGTTCTGCTCCTTTTGCGAATCACAACTAGTATGTATTGCTTATATATCATCATCCTCCAGTAAAATAGAAATGTCGTCGTTTTTAAAGTTAGCCTGTAATTGGTTAAGTTCTAAGTTAGTGTTGCAGTGGAACTAGTACTAATATTTATTTATTATAAGCATGCTCGAACTAACAATCGGCACAGGCCGCTCTGTAGAATGCTAGCAACTTGAACTTGTTCCTCCGGTCGTAGTCCTGTGGTAGCAACTTGCAATTCTACTAACAAATATCAACATGTCTTTTAGCATGGACCCTTCATCTAGTAGTATAGTGTTTTCTGAACTAGCTTCCATTATCTGAAGAAAGAAGCGGTTTCTGTCTGCAGCACTAGCTATCATGATAAACAGATAAAGTGCAGAACTATATATTGTGAAACACATTATATCATCACCAATAGATCAAGTCTGAATCTGAAGCTGAAGTGTCATCATAATTTCCAATTGACCATTTTCTTATTATTTTCCTGAAATATCATCACCAATAGATCAAGCCTGAATCTGAAGCTTGTGGTGAAATACCAACACCAACTGATCACCAATGCATGCTCATCTCGGAGCCTAATTATTTTTTCCCGCAATCTCGCTGCCAAGACATGCGTGTCATCGAGGCATACTTTGATTTTTCCATCTCTTTTTTCGCTATGGTGCATTATCTTTACATGTCCTTTATCTTCAGGTTTCTTAAGACTAACAATGAGGTAGCAGCTGATGGCGGGACTCTGAATTTGCGGAAAATATGGAGATGTTTGGGTTTGTGGAAGTGACTTATCTCGTTTTGGGGAAAATCTAGGAGTTAGTTCAGAGTCATAACTAAGGCAAAAGGTGGATGCATCCACATGTTTAACTCACTTGTGAGGAACTTATTTGTATGAGGCATGTGACGAATTGATGATGAGCGTTTCAGTACTGTGCTTATTTATATTCTTTAGTTGCTTAGCTAAAATTCGAACACTTAAAATCTGATCATTTGGTTTTCCTTTCCATTATTTTGGTTTTGTATGAACAAAAATATATATTAAACTGCTAGTTTTGTATATTATGGCTAGTTGCCCCTTTTTTCCTGATCTACCATTCACTTCATTTTACCTGCAAAACATGTTTTGAAGGCTGCACTCCTCCTGGCTTATATTGTTTAGAATGGAGATAACCAATTATTTAGTTTCAAGTTTTGATTTTCATTTGGAGAGGGCTGATGAGAGGATGTGTTAAGACAATCGCAATCGATCCAATCCAGTCTGCTATTTGTGAGTAGAAGCTGATCTGAACTATATCTGGATGATTACAGTGAATTGAGCATACATATCAAGAATTGAGCATTTTCTTCTTTTCCTGAAATATCATCACCAACACCAATTGATCAAGCCTGAATCTCAAGCTTGTGCTGAAATATCAACACCGTACAAACTGATCACCAGTCCATGCTCATCTAGGAGCCTGATTTTTCTTGCCGCAATCTCGCTGTCAGTATGCAAATCATACTTTGATTTTTCTATCTCTTTTTTCCCAATGGCGCATTCTCTTTATATTCACACCTGCCGAATGGCTTTTATCTTTAACTTCAGGTTTCTTAGGGCTAACAATGAAGTAGCAGCTGATGACGGGACTCTGAATTTGCGGAAAATCTAGAGAGGTTTTTTTTTTGGAGTTTGCTGACCAACTATCTCGTTTTGATGAAAATATGGGAGTTAATTCAGACTCATAACTAAGGCAAAAGGTGGATGCATCCACATGCGAATCGATGATGAGCGTTTCAGTATTATGCTTATTTTTATGCTTAGTAAAGTGCCAAACCAATTTAGTGATACTATCAAATTCATGGGAAAAAAAAATCTGAACCAATCCAATCTGCTATTATGACTAGAAGCTGATCTGAAGTCTAAACTCTATCTGAATAATCACAGTAAAGTGCCAAACCAATTTAGTGATACTATCTGTATGTCTGAAGGACATTCGACTGAACTGTAGTAATATCTAATCTACTTTGGTAGCAATCCTGTATCTACTCTATCTACGAGCTTAATTCCTCTATCATCTACGTGCGCAGCCGAAGCTGCAGAACTAGAACTCACATCTCACTAGTTTTTGAACTGCGCGATGTGGGTCTTGATGATCTGGCCGGCAACGGCCTTGTAGGCGGCCTGCGTGGGGTGCACGGCGTCGAAGAACATGTACTGCGCCGGCGACTTGCACTGCGGCAGCAGGCCGGTGCACATGGCCCCCATCTCCAGCAGCCCCGTGCCGCAGCACCCCTGCCCCATATGAAACCATCCTCACCTCACAAAGTGAGCACAACCTCATTTCCCTCGTTCATTAGACAAGCAAAAATGCAATTGTACATATAGTTTGTTTCACCTTGTATTGTATGAAATCACACAGTATAGTATGAGCTATTCCTACCTCGCTGCGGAGTTGTTGAACAAGGCAAGCCATGAACAGAAGCACAAGTGTGTGCAGTGTGAACTGAGTAATATGGTCATTCATTTGGGCATTATGCATGGTGTAAACTATCGATGAACGTCGTACCTCGTTGGAGGCGACGGTTTCGTGTTATATAGGCAGGGGCGTATCCCTGAGATATGCATACAGGCTGTTGAGATTACATCTTGAGAACCAAGTTAAAGAGAGAAGATAGAGATGAAAGAGGTTACAAGAATATTGCCTAACTCTATCTCTAACTAACCTAGTTCGGCCTAGGTGGGACCAGTACGTCTTGCATATCACGTTTAACACCCTCCCATAATCACAACTTGGTCAAGTTGAGATTACGTTTGAACTCTTCAAAACTTCTTGTAGATAAGGCTTTGGTAAAACCATCTGCAACCTGATCTTGAAAGTGAATAAACCGAATGTCCAATTTCTTGGCAGCAACTCTTTCTCTGACAAAGTGGAAATCAATTTTGATGTGTTTGGTCCTTGCATGAAAAACAGGATTAGCAGAAAGGTATGTAGCACCAAGATTGTCACACCATAAACATGGAGCTTGCTTGCAACGTATACCAAGCTCTCTCAACAAGGACTGAACCCAAATGATTTCTGTCGTGGCATTAGCCAATGCTTTATATTCAGCTTCTGTACTAGACCTGGATACAGTAGCTTGTTTCTTTGCACACCAAGAGATTAAGTTAGGACCAAAGAAAACTGCAAAACCACCTATTGAGCGCCTATGCCCAGTCAGAATCAGAGAATGCACTGACAAGAGTTGATGATGACTTGCTGAATGTTAATCCGAGGCTCAAGGTATCTTTAACATATCTGAGTATGCGTTTTGCAGCTGTCAAATGTACTGTAGTGGGTGCATGAAGAAATTGGCATACTTTATTGACAGCAAAAGAGATATCAGGTCTAGTCAGAGTTAAGTACTGTAGTGCACCAACCATACTTCTATACCTGGTGCTGTCCTCTTGATTCAAGAGGTCTCCTTCTGACAAGGATAACTTTTCTGCACTGGATAAAGGTGTTGGAGCTGGCTTACAGCCCTGCAACCTTGCTCTGGCTACAAGATCAGTTGCATACTTTTCTTGATATAAGTGAAGACTATCTCCATTCTTCTTAACTTCAATCCCAAGAAAATAATGCAAGTCTCCTAGATCCTTAAGAGAAAACTCAGAGTTTAAATCCTTTAGCAGTCCTGTAACAGCCTCATTTGATGAACTCGTGACGATAATACCATCAACATATATTAGGACAAATATGGAGGTATTTGACTTATTGTAAATAAACAATAAGGTGTCAGACTTAGAAGGATTAAACCCAAGTGTTTGAAGTTTTGAGCTCAATCTGAAATACCATGCCCTAGGAGCTTGCTTCAGTCCATATAAAGCAGTATCAAGTTTGCACACATGGAAGGGTTTGTTTTTGTCCTCAAACCCAGGAGGTTGTCGCATGAACACTTCCTCTTCCAGAACGCCATGAAGGAACGCATTCTGTACATCAAGTTGACGTAGACTCCATCCCCTAGACACAACAATAGACAAAACAAGACGAATAGTAGCAACCTTCACAACAGGACTAAAGGTGTCCTCATAGTCTATGCCATACTATTGCTTGAAACCTTTTGCAACGAGTCTAGCTTTATAACGATCTATGGTTCCATCAGATTTTCTCTTAATTCTGTAGACCCACTTGCAATCAATCACGTTTTTACCTCGACATGCAGGTGCCAGGTTTTACTTTTTCTGAAGCGCCACGTACTCCTCTTGCATAGCCTTCTTCCACCGTGTATCACTCAAGGCTTCAGCAACAGTACTTGGTTCATCTGTGGTACATGCAGGACCAAATTTTACTATGCTTTTATAATTTTTGGGTTGAGTTACTCTCCTTTGAAGCCTTGTTCGTAATGGTGAAGAAGTTGGCGCAGAAGATCCCGCTGACTGCTTAGGAGATCTCGTAGCAGGATCGGCTGTGGATCCTGATGGCGACCTGTCGGGCTGGGGCGACGCGGTGGATCTTCTGTGGCTACAGCAGGCAGTGAGCGAGAGGGAATAGGCGCAGAGGATCCCGCACCAGCCCCCACATCCGCCGCAGGCTCATGATGAGCTGATGATGGCACGGCCCCAGCCAGATCCGGACGGGTTTCCGTGCCTTGCCGAATCACCCAGGCCACGCGGCAGGCGACAAGTGGTGCGGAGCGGAGGGGCGCACCGAGCCGCCATTGGCGTCGTGACGCGGCACAAGTGCCGGGGCGGACCGATCTGCTGCACCTGGCACGGATCCCGTAGGAGATTGCGGGGTAGACCTGCAGGGAGAGGATCCCTAGACTGCCATGCTGTGATCCCGAGGCTGATTCGCCTCTGC